GGTGAAATGCAAAAGAACAATAAGAAGTCATGAGGCTGCGCGAAAGCTGCGCGAAGAATGAAGAAGACAGTGGCGGAGTAACGAGGCAGTGCAAGAATGGAAAGAACAATAAGATGTAGGGCAAAGGGCATAACGAGGCAGTGTTCCATGGGAGAAAGTGTCCGTGTCGAGAATAAAGGCAAGAATAAGAATAAAGAGGAAGTGATAAGGGCGATGAAAGCGATAAGATAAGATAGGGAAAAAATAGGGGCTCGTACCCGCTGTTCACGACATTACCCCCCTTCTAAGCCTCATCGTCCTCGATGATCCCTGGTAGGCGGCGTCCCAGCTCCCAGTCGAAGTCGGTAGGTGGTGTGTCGGTGAAGTTCTCGAGGGGTTGCCAGGGGAGGGAGGCGAAGACAGTGGCTGCAATGCAACGTGGTGCAGAAGGGTGACGCTGGTGGAAGTCTTTGACGACATCGGGGGCGTGTTCCAAGTTCTCCTCCGGTTCCCAAGTATCCTCCGTCGACCCGTAGCCCTTCCAACTGACCAGATATTCCAGCTTACGGTTCTTCCCTTGGCCCTTCCAGCGGCTGTCCAAGATGTCGTGAACCTCGTACTCGAGCTCTCCCTCCAGTTCAACAGGCTCAGGCGGAGGTGGCAGAATGCCGTTGACATCATTGCCTTTCCAGGGGGAGAGCTTGTCGATGTGGAACACTGAGATGAATGCGGGAGAGGGAAGGGGGGAGCTCAAGGCGGTAATCGAGGTCGCCGATGCGTTCGGTGATCTTGTAGGGGCCGAGTTGGAGGTCGCCAAGCTTCCGAGTAGGGACTTTGATCTGGATGTCCTTAGCGTTGAGCCAAACGTGGTCACCAACCTTGAACTGATGGGCTGTTTGTTTGCCGGATTTGTACAAGTCCTTCTGTTGTGCTTTCTCGAGACGTAAGGCGGCTTCGGCGTCCTTGCGTACCTCTTGCAGTTGTTGGATGCGCTCGTCGACAGGGCGAAGATCAGTGCATTTACCGACGGGAATGTTGAAGTGAGGGATGTAACCGTAGAGGACTTCGAAGGGGGATCGGTTGTGCGCGGAGTGGACTCGGGAGTTGATCACAAATTCGGCCATGGGAAGGTGCTTATCCCAGTCGTCTTGTCGGCGACTGACGTACAGGCGGAGGTACTTCTCGACTTCTTGGTTGGCCCGTTCTGTTTGTCCGTTAGCCTGAGGATGATAGGCGGTGGTCAGGTTGGATTCGATGCCGAGACGCCTGAGAAGGGTGCGCATGACTTTGGAGGCGAACTGGGAGGCCGCGGTCGCTGATGAACCGGAGTGGGAAGGCCGTGGAGGCGGAAGACTTCTCGGTAGTAGATGTCGGCGACTCCTTCGGTGGTGATGTCCGAGGTGCAGGGGAGGGCATGGAGAAGCTTGCTGTAGTGGTCGACGAAGACGATGATGGCATCATGTCCGTTGGCATCAGGAAGCTGGGTGATAAGGTCGACTCCAACGGTCTCCCAGGGGCCATCGGGTACCTCCAAGGGCTGAGTCGAGGCGCGGGGGTGCTGGGCGTGTTTCTTCCGGGCACAGATGTCGCAACCTTCCACATACTTCTTGACAAAGGCTCGCATGGTCGGCCACCAGTACTGTCGTTCAACTCGTTCGAGGGTTCCATGTACACCGGGATGTCCAGAGGTAGGATCGTCGTGGCACTGTTTGAGAACGTCGCGTCGGAGTTCGTCGTCTGGGGGAACGTAGACTCGACCCTTGTAGTAAACAAGGCCGTTATCCTCCTCCCATTCGGCGAGACCAGAGGTGAGACGACGGGGACCTGTCTTGCGGAGCAGGACCTGGGATTCTCGGGCACTGGCCTGTCGGATACGGTCCTCCAAGGGGTTGATGACCATGCTCGAGGCGGCGAGCTTGGCAAACAGCTCGGGTTTGAGTACCACCTGTTGTTTGTTGTCCTCGGCGTCGGAGACCTGGTGGACGTCGAGACGAGAGAGGGCGTCGGCTTGGGTGTTTGTCTTGCCAGGGCGGTGGGTGAGCGAGAACCGGAAGCGGGAGAGGTAGAGAGCCCAACGAGCCTGTCGACGGCTGAGGTCTTGTGCGGTGCGCCAGTATTCGAGGTTGGAATGGTCAGTGACAATCTCGAAGGGTTCAGGGAGTCCTTCCAGGAAGTGGCGCCAGTCCTTGAGAGCCTCGATAATGGCCAGCATCTCCCGGTCGTAGATTTCGTAGTTCCGTTCGGCGGGCTGCATGGAGGCGGATCGGAATGCAACGGGGTGCCAGAGGCCGTCATCCTGCTTCTGGAGAAGGGCTCCTCCAGTGGCAAAGCCGGAGGCGTCGACTTCAATGCGAGTGGGGCGGTCAGGATCCCAGAGCGTCAGAATGGGGGCGGACGTGAAGGCATTGCGGAGGGTGTCAAAGGCCTGCTGTTGAGGATCGTTCCATTGCCAGGGGATGTTCTTCTTGGTGAGGTCGTTGAGCGGTCGGGCGATGGTGGCGAAGTCCTTGATGAAACGGCGGTAGAAGTTGGCGAACCCGAGGAAACCACGAACGGCGCGGAGGTTGCGCGGGAACTGGCCAGTTGCGGACGGCTTCGACCTTGGCGGGGTCCATGCTGACTTCGCCCTCGCGGATGATCAGCCCGAGGTATTCGATCTCCTGACGTTCGAACTCGCACTTCTCTGGCCGGAGATACAGATCATGCTTCTTGAGGCGATGCAGGACTTCGTGTACAACTTGCCGGTGCTCGTCGAGTGTGGCCGTAAAGATGAGGATGTCGTCGAGATACACTGCAACCTTCCCTCCAGCAATGAGGTCGGAGAAGATACATCAGGAAAATGACGGGGGGGATGATTTTTGTAGTTGGCGTTTGATCACAGGTCACCTGACCGATAGGTTAGCACCAAGCTTTATCTGGTATCAACTATGTATGTCTTTGGAGACAATAACGTTGTAAAATGACCATGGTATGACATTTCAGAACAGCCTGACATCTGATGGTCAATTTAGATCTGACCACAGTCAGAATGACCAGCGCCGGTCGATCTTTACCGATTTGTTATCATCGTGGCTTCCGTGTGGTCAAAGTTTGCCAGACACCAATCAGAATGAGGACCACCGGCCGAGCTTTACCGAGTTGTTATCATCGTGTTTCCCTATGGTCCAGCGTTACCTGACACCAGTCTAAATCATGACCGTCGGTGGAGCTTTACCAGCATGTTATCACCGTGGTCTCGTGTGATCAAACTTTACCAGTCCTCCATCGGAAGGGTTCTTTGCGGTCGAGCATTGCCAACCCTCTGTCGGGAAGATTCGCTGTGTTCTGTGTTTGCCATTCGCCGGTCTGAATTACTTGCAGCATATCAGACTACTCACGTCCTGATTTGAAAAGACCACCGCGTCACATATGAAGGTCAGCTGGCAGGTCCCAGACAAAGTCTTACCGAGCTTGATGGCGAGAGCTAGCCATGACAGTCGTCCTCAGTATGTTAAGGCAAGGTCAGCCGTCAGTGTCACAATCCAGTCAGATTCGGGGTTTTCCCATGGCCCGGCGTGTGGCAGTAAACAAGTAATTCGAGACGAGACACGGAGATAGTGGCGCCGAGGGTACGAAAAAGAGAATTCAATGCTGCGAGTACCTACTATGTATGATGAGGGGTATACATAGAGATGACGTGAGGTGACCTTCATGGTCATGGTGGAGTCAGTGTGGCGACGACAAGATCTGCGAGTCACGCGTCAATAAACAGGAAACCTTATGAGATCTGAGGCTAAGGACCTACCAAGCGCGAGGCAAGGATGTGATTATCCAGAAAGCGCCGAAAGCCCCAAGGATAGCGATTCCGATTTGCTTGAGAATGTCGAAGAGAAAGAGAATGACTTTCAGCCTATAATCCTCGCAATTCGTGGCATGGTTGCTCGGTGCACAGGGATGAACGGATGCATGGCAATGTGTGTCAGGTCTGATGGATTCCAAACATCTCTCGGGCTGAGGGTGAATGCTGACCTCGCGCTGTAGGAGATGATCCACGATTAGAGAAGCGGACCGGGCGGAAAGTCGAATAACAGGCGCTTCTCCAGATGAATTGTCGGTGTCGTTCGCACTTGTTGAGATGTCCGATGAGATGTCGGCGTTGTCAGGTTCAGCTTTCACCGTGGTGGCTTTGGCGCGCCCAGTAGATCGAACGTTGACGTTCGCGGCGTGTCTTGGTCGAATCCCGCGCGCTGGGGCAGAAGCACTGGTTGGATCCGGAGGAGGAGGGCAAGGTCCCGGCTTTGGATGACCTTTCATCGGGTTGCGACAGGTGCGGCAATGCGGTGCCTGGCGAACAGAGATGCCGCGGATGGCACTGGGTGATCTCTTTGGACTCGTAAGGCCTGAGCGGGGGGAATTCCGAGTCATTCTGTTAAAAGGGACTGAAAGGCTGTGGGTATAAAGGCGGCCACGACTCCTAAACCAACGGACGAGCTGGTAGGTCTAAGTATTATAGACCAGTTTCGTGGGAGGTGCGCAGAGTCCCGCCCACCGTGGCCCGTGGCAACGGGGAGACTGCGGACTCGGAACTACTTGGCACGTTGGGATGTCGACTCGTCGGAGAGCCCAACTTCAACGTCAGCGTCGCCAGGGCCCAGATGTCGCTGCAGAACTTTTGCTGCGCAGGTTAATCGTGCCAGTCACGATCACCATGACTCCTGTGGCGACGGGGAGACTGCGGAAACCACGAAGGCCGCGTCGGCGGGATTGGCATTGAAGGTTAATTGAGCGACGGCAACTTGTCTCAACGAGTCGGAGTCGCCTGATGTCGCGGTCGCGGCGAAATTTGCTGCGCAGATTAATCGTGTCAGTCACCGGATCACTACTAAGTTTCCGGACGACGGTCACGGTGAATCGATTTAGAAAAGGTACTATAATTCGTAGTATAAATTGGAAACTTCAAACCATGCCAGTATACCGTACCGTCCGCCAAGTTTTCACCGCTCACCTACCCACCCCTATTCCTTTAACGGCCAATTTGAACAATGCAGACAGCAGTCATCGATCACTTCCCCAACCCCGAGTCTGTATCTTGCGAGGAGTCCCCCGCAAAAGAGACGCCCTCGCAGAACCTGGAATTAGGGACAACCACTACTGTTCAAGGACTCCTTGAACGAGATGAAGGTGTTCCTGAGTCTCGCTCGGAGCCACCCACCCGAACTAGTCGTATGTCGGTTTTAGAGTTTTCCTTAGCGACTGGAAGCTGACCGGATGATCGCGCTCTCAGCTGGAAAGCTTATTCAACCGGACTCTTCATCATCCAACCGTTTGGACCCTCCCCGAGCCGCTACTTCGATGACGCACGCGCATCCATTTACGAAGGTCGAGATAGAGGAAGTTTCTTCGAAGGGTGAGAGAGTCGAAGTTCGAACATCTATAATTCAAACAAGAGACATGCGGAAGATGTCCATCGAGGACCTGGTGCGGATCGCGACGAATCGAGGGAGAAGAATCTCGGAATTGGAAAAGAAAATCGCATGTCTGACCCAAAGGCTCGAGAAGTATCAACGCTTCTCAAGGAGCTTGGTGGACACAATGAAAGCCATGACGGAGGCGGCCGAAGACGGGGAGATGGACGTGCTTGAGGGTTGAGAGTCGGCCGAGGTTCAGATGCTGAATGATCGCCAATAGTACCTCCTTGTAACGATCCGGGAATTGAAAAATGTTCCGAGCTAACAGCTCTGCCAGTGGGACTAGTAAGGGCCATCGGGACGACTCGAGCGCGACTCGGATTCGTAATTGAGCGTTGCTTGGTCGGTGCGATGTGAATTTGTGATTATGTTGAGGGTTACATTTTCATCTTGCCCTCGAAGTTGAAAAGGATCGTGTTCGTGGTGCTGACTTTGGTGGTCAAACCGAAGAACTCGACAAGGCCCTTCTCCTCCGCCTTCTCGAGGTCCTCATGGTTCATCGTCACTTCGGAAGAGGACGTTCAAGTTGCCGTGGTGTTCTTTGAAGTCCTATCCAATCAATTTGGCATAATGAGCAACCGAGTAACATAATCCACTGACCTTAACCATTCCAGCATTCTTGACCACATCTTTCTTCCCATAAGGCTCATCCTTATCCTTGTCTTTCTCCTTGTCCTTCTTCTCCCCGGTGATCATGACCTCCAAATCGTCTTTGAATGTACGGGTCCACTTGTGAATCGGCAGCTCGGAAATCTCCACCGTGGTGTCGTTAATCTTGGTCGCAACACCCACGACGTCATATTTGCCCTTGCCGGGAGGTCGGACCTCGCCTTTGAACCCTCGCCACCAAGGGGTCATCGGTTCCAGCTCTTCCCCCTTCATCTTTCGACGGATATTGGCAACGATGTCGATAGGGTTGTAGGGAGGGATGTTGGTATCCAGCCTGGAACCTGTGTCAGAACCCCATGAGCGAAGAATGAAAACGACATTTCCCACCTGTTCCGATACCTTCAGCACCGTTAATCAGCACCATGGGCACGGTCGGCATGTGCCACTCTGGCTCGATGGGCACGTCATCGTCCTTAAGGTAGTTGAGAAGTGGGTCATCGAAGGGATGATAGACGGTACGTGTAATGCTTTTGGCGTTTGTGAAGATGTAACGCGGGACAGCATGACCCTTTCCACCAACCTCACGCGTACCAGACTGGGCGAGAGAAGGGCCAAGTTGTTCGAGCCAACAAAGTCCTGCGCAAGGTTGATGATGGTAGCTGCTAAACTGGCTTCACCGTGGTGGTAGGCAGCGTGTTCGGAGATGTAACCACTGGCAACAAGTTGAGCGACCTGTAATCAGTGTAAGTGGTATTTACTTGGAACTACGGGCGAAAATCTCTACCTTGATTTCCTTCTTCAGCTTACGCTTGAAGCAACCCCAGATAACCTTACGTTGACCGGGCTTCAAACCATAAGCAATGGACGGAATAGAACGAACGTTGTTCGCCATCGAGAAAAGAATCAATTCCTTGTTGATAAATTCGGAGTAGGGGATCTCTTCCAGGCGATGGTCGAGGAAGGTTCCAGGCTGCGAAATTCTCAGCCAAGGTTCAATGTAATTATTTTCCATTAATTACCTTGTATTGGCGCAACCACTCCTTCCGCTCGTCCGCCTTCTTCTTGCTGAACGCCAGGTCGATGTTCACGGTCCCCTTCTTGCGTCGGTGCAAATGGAATCGTTTCTCCATTTTACTGAAGTACTCTCGCGCGCCCTTATCCTCGCTGAAACCCTTTTGATTCACAGTGAGGTTCGACTAGCAGAATCGCGATGAAAAAGACATACCTTGTAGTACTTGGATTCCCACTTTCTGGCATCTGGCGTCTCCTCCAACCACTGCTCATATTCAGGGATGGTGAAGAAATCTTTGACTTTGTTGCCTTTCTTGACCTGGGGGAGGGTGAACGGGGGCCAGAATGAGGGTGAACGAAAGGACATACCCTGACAGTGGTGTGACGAACTCGACGAGGAAGTCAGGGATTTTCAATAAAGAGGGATAGAGGTGGTCCAAGAAGTTGATAATAAGACCTTTGATATGAGAACCGTCATGATCCTGGGAGATGGTCAGCGTATGCAGGGTACATCGAGGGAATATTACGAATACCTGATCAGTCATAATCATCACTCTCCCATACCGGAGACTGGAAGTGTTCGTGTAGTCTTTGTTGTGTTGTAGGCCCATGATCTTCTTGATATTCTGGATTTCTTCGTTCTTCATGACCTGGTCATGGCAGGCTTCTCGTACATTGAGTAGCTTTCCGCGGAGTGGGAAGACACCGAAATTGTCTCGACCAACCACTCCCAGACCAGCGATAGCCAACGCTTTGGCGGAGTCACCTTCTGTTAGGATCAATGTGCAGTCCTGCGCATGGCGTGTACCGGCATTGTTCGCATCGGAAAGTTTGGCGAGACCGAGTAACCTGTGATACGAGTAAGTCTGACCCAATACTTTATGGCGGGGATACCCACCTGCTACGCTTGGTTCCGTCCGCCCTCTTCATTTGCTGATCGGCCTTGAACTTGGCCCAATTCAGCACATTGTCGACGATGCCCGAATGGGCGACTAGAGCCGAACTCAGTACTGCGATAGCTTTCAAATTTGACACTACGTACCTTTCTTAATGAACTCGTCGGAGATGGTGGGTTTCGACCCAAATTTCGATGAGGGTAGTGTCAGAAGCTCCTTCGTTTGACTGTCGAAGGTGGGGTTCACAATGAGAGATTGACGAACAGCCACATATAGTTCCTAATCTAGGCAGGCTTGACTGTTGCCCCCTTGTTCTTCTTCGAAATCGAGGTAACGAGTGCTTTGGAGATTTGGTCCGCAATGTAGTTGACGTGAGTACCACCCTTGCTTGTGGCAATGGAATTGGCGAAGGAGACATGTTGGAAGGTGCCCTCCGTGGAAAGGGTATATGCAATCTCCCAGCGGTCAGATATTTGTTCATGGATCACGGTTTGCTTCGGTTGGGCAGCTCCTCCCGACTTCTCAGCAGCAGCTTCTTCAGGCGCTCATCGTTGAGGAGAACCTTCACGTCTTTGACCGTGTCCGCCATATCGAAAACGCGTCGTTTCAGCAGGTTGACCGTGTCTTCGTTGATGGAATTCATGCCAAAGCGCTTCAAGTCTGGGCGGAATGTAATGCGCGTGTATTCCTCCCCTCGAGTGTTCTTGGTGATCTTCGCCTTTCCGCATTTCGACATATTGTCCGTCCATGTCTGCTTGTACTTCTGGGAGGTGTTCTTGTCGGCAGTTTCGACCGTGAATTCCAGTGAGTAGATGTTGGCAAGCTTGGCGCCATAACCGTTACGGCCTCCAGTCAACTTCTTCTCGTCGTCGTCGTAGTTGGTAGATGTGAGAAGGTGACCAAAGATCATCTCCGGGATGTACATCTTTTCCTTCGAGTGAATTTCAATCGGGATGCCGCGGCCATTGTTATAGACTGAGATTGTGCCTTCCTCTACGTCGATAGTGATCTTTAGCGTGTCCATGGACGGGTCATTGATCTAAAAACGCGTCAATACAGAAGATGCAAGGCAATGGAAAGTCCTGAACCTTGTTGTCGGCAGCGTTCACGAGAATTTCGTCCACAATCTTGAAGAAACCAGGGACATATTTGACTTCCCTGTGGACCATCCGTATGGTCTCCGAATCATACGTCCACATTGGCGTGGATATAATCTCGATGTTTCCAATGTACGAGTCAGGTCGCTTGAGGATATGTTCCAGTTGCGTGAGCTAATCGAGGCGAAGTTAGCCAGCGCGCCAATGAGTACATTATGAACATGCCTTCTGGTACATTTCCGACGTCGATTTCTTCTTATTCTGCCCAACGGGCTCGTCCGGTTCTTCCTGCCGCCTTGCGGCAGACGTCGGTTCATCCGTGTCCATGCCACTGTCCTCGTCGTCGTCGGAAAGTCGGACGACGCCCTTATCATCGAGGCGCGCGTGACTGCGCGAGTTGCTGGCACTGTCCGTTCAACAATTTCCGTTGAATGTTAACAATAACCTTGTATATGCCTGAATTTACATCATAAAGTAATACATTAAAGTCAAACGATCGCGAAAAGAGTCAAGAGGGAAGAAAACGGAAGAAGTTGACGCTAGCGCCTTGACGCCCGATTCACGCTTTGTCGAGAGTCGCGGTTGTGAAGCCGGCGGCGAACGTCGGTCAGCACCGTCATGAGGTGGTCCGAAAAGGCGGTTTCACGTTCGTAGTTTGCTTTCAAGGTCTCTGTTTTCTCCTGCAAGCGGGATATTCTGGCGTTTAATGACGTGACTTGGGCTTTGAGCTCTTCAACCTCGGTCAATCGCTCTTGCAAAGCAAGGCGAAGATCTTCAACTTCGTCCTCGAGGTTGGCAGGGTGCGGAGAGGCATGGAGCGAGGTTGAAGTGTTGTCATTGTCGTGGCCACCAGACTCAGGGGAATGCTCTGTGTGCTCATAGAGTTGAGGAATGGGATCTGTAAGTGCATATAAATCAGTGGAAGACATTTAACTTCAAGGGAGACTCGAGTCGTCACGACGGACGATCGCATACCATTCCAGCTAAAATCGTATGCGGAGTCGAGACAGAGATTGAGCGACATGCTTGTGAGATCCGACGTTGGGTGATATCAAGAGGATGTTCGGAAGTCGACAGGTGTGTTAACAGTACCGCTAGATGAAGGATGGACAGTGGCTTTATACATTAGCACAACCCCCACGGTGAGAATGATTGAGGTGCTGCGCTGCACCGACTCGGAAGTACGGTGCTGCGGGCGCCTCTTACTGTGACGACGCCACGCTACCCCTCATCCGGGTGTCGAGCACCCTAGCGCGGTGTTGAAGCGTTGCCAAGCCAATCGCTTCCTATAGCACTGTTTGCCTGCTGGGCATCTGAAATGTCCCTAACCTACTCCCAAACGACTAGGGCAGCTTGCTTGCCAAGCGACTAGCTTCAGGTTGGGTGCTTGCCAGCCTGTGGAACACGTTAAAACCTGTTCAGAAACTCGTGGCGGGTTGTGAACTTCACTCACCACCGACGGTCCAGGTGACGGTTGTCACTGGCAATTACCTTAGCGACTGGGCGTTAAGTTGCCGGCAGCCCACATCATTAACGGTTCCCCCTCTCCGACACGCCTCAGGCTCTCCTCCCCTCGGACCGGACAGGATCCCTGCCAGACTCTTAATCCTGAGTAGGTTTTGTCGCGCATGCAGGTTGAAATCAGGCCATCATAGACTGTGGCATCGTAGAGTTAGTAGATATCGTATATATAGCAATGGACCTCTATGGGAGACGCGAGCGTTTGGTGCTTCTCTGAGGTAGTAGGCGACCTTTGCGTGGAACGAGTCGTCGAATCGTCGCTGGGGCCATCACCCGGACGAGTGGCCAACACTAGAGAATGATCAATCGTCGTCTTCCCCTTCCTCGCAAAAACGACCTTCCAGCTCATCCGAGTCCGATTCTTGATCATACCCTTCCCAAACCATGTCGTCTGCACCCAATCTCTCGCAAGCCTGATCTTCTGCCTCTTCTGTCGCTGCTTCTCCGTCCTTCTCTTCTGCGTCGAGGGGAGTCATTCGGCTCGGTCGTATACTGGGGCACGCTTCATGTCCGTGGGATTCGTTGCTTGAATTCAGGCCATCCCGGGAGGTGGATTCTTCTCTAAGTTGGATGTTCGTCTGTTTTCGTCGCGAATGATGCGAATACCGATGACCAATGCCGTACCCCCATCGAAATCTCATGTACATATCCCTATCAGCAAAGCTTGAAAATGGGTCAGGTCAGGGCAACGCGTCTACAAATAAAGAAGCTCCGTACCGGTTAACAACATATGAAGGGTAATCCTGGGAGTCTTTCGCAATCATGGATATGTCTTCGGCATTTGACACATGGCCAATGCTGATTCGAGGAAGAATGTGGCAAGCTCGAATAACGTCTTCCGGGTTTACGAATCCAAAGGCATCTGGATCAGTCAAAGGGGGGAAACTAAGTTCGTCTAAGCCGCCGTTGTGATCGAGATCTGCTCCATTCCAAGAATACCACCGAACAAAGAGGAAATCGAGCCTCTCTGGTTTGAAGTCCATATTTCCACCCCCAACGAACTGAACCTGCGCATGGAGTATCATCAAGACCCTAGCGTACAGGTAGGGATGTTGGTCAGGCTCCCCTTCTAGCCAGGCTGGATTAAGCAGCATCACATCTGCCTTATGGGTGCTCGGACGTACGATGTCTTCGTCCTGTCGCACATCATACGTTGTATATCGGAACCGGATAATCTTGTGGACATGAAGGCGGTAGTTCTGGATGACGACATACGACCAATCGTCCAAGTCGGAGGGGTCAAGCGGAGAGGTGAGTCCTGCCTTCACTCGACGCTCCCGAAGCGCGGTTTTGATGCGAGGGAGCAGATGACGTTGGAGTTTGGGAAGGAAGTCCTGCGGGGATGTGAGAACGAAGTCGAAAAGGAAAAGGAAGGATTAATACATACCTGTAGCGCTGGGTCCAACAGATTCGCTTCATTCTGGACGTAATTGGACAGGGGCTCGTAAGAGTTTTTGGCCTGGGAGAGACGGTATCGCCACGAAGTGTTCCGTTGACTGGGCTCATTCCGTGCGCTTCTCATCTTGCGCCTGATCTTGCGTATGTTTGCCCTTCTTCTTTCGATCCTGGCTAGTTGAGCTCGATAAGCCCTTTTGTCGGTGCGGAGATACCATGACTTCGGAAGCTTGTGTTCAAGCTCTCCCTGTGGTATGACTAGTAAACACCAATGCTATATTCTCGATGAGAGAAGAAAACATACTCGCTCAGACGTATACGAATCTGTCGTCCCAAAACGCCGGATTGTTTCGACATAGTCACATAAAGCGTGATACTTGTAGGTATTGAGGTTTAACGTCTTCCGCAGTCGTCCTTTGGAATCCGGTGCTGGAACGCTGGTATTGCTTTCCACGTAAGAGGGATCGGTAGCTGGAGGGTCCTGTGCCGGACTATGGCGCAGATGTACAGGAGCGCTGACATTACTTTGCACGCTAGGAGCGGGAGGAGGGTTCTGTGAAGGTCTCGGAAGTCGCTCGCGGACGCTAGCCGGTGTCTCGTTGGCGGATACGGCAGAAAACGAGCCAGGCATTGGGATTTGGGGTGGATCGACATGGTGGGTGCCAGTTGGCTGCTGCAGCTGTGACGGCTGGTGTGTTTTTGTAGACTTGGCGATTCGTTTGAGGCGAGCTGCGTGCTCTTTCGATGTTTCTCGCGTATCGTAAGCTGAACAGGTTTCCTGCACGAAGATCCGAAACTGACTCGTCAGTGCATCCGTGGCTTTGGTCAAGAGATCCAACGTTTCGTCCGTGTGCATCCTAAGCTTCGCGAGCGCATGCCATTCCGCACAAAGGAACAACAGACGGCAAACGACCTTGTCGTGTTTCTTAGGAAGTAGGCCTTGAAATGCGGGAATGGCACACTGGACGCTGAGGTAAGCCAGTGGGAGGTGTGGATGCAGCAGGTATGCAACCTACCTGGAGTAAGTTTTCGTAATCGCGTGCGCCCAGGCGTTTCATTTCGGACATATTGGACGTGAATTTGCGGATGGTATCAATACCGAAAGGACTCATTAGACGATACCTGAGGATGAGTAGATGAGTGAACCATAGCATCCACGACCTTAGCAATGGAACCCTGACCTTCGATCCAGTTCATTCACTAACGAACGTTTAGATATTCGGTCCTCAGCTTCGAGTATCCGGATGAGGTGGGTAAAAAGCGTCCTCCAGACACCGAGTTCAAACTCGTGCATTAGATCGACTACAAGGGCCTTGAAGATGTCGAATTGAACAGAATCTGTGACCTTGGAGAACGCATTCTAAATGAAGCGTTGGGAGTCAGAGAAGACGGAATATCCACCAAGAAAAACGAAGGCACCTTGACTGGGACCATGGAGTTGGATTTCAGTTCCTCATCAACAACTCTGCTGTTAACGGCATAACCCTGATCAAATATTTTCTCTCTTGCTGCTTTGACCTTTTCTCGACGCTCCGCGGTGTCCACGCGCGGGTTTTCTGAACGAAGGGACTTGTCCTCCCCCGTTCCAGCTTGGTTCATATCGCTTTTGGGGACGAGACATCGGGGGCAGGGATACGTGCCCAGGCTGCGGATGGTTGCGATCAAGGCTCTAGGGATGTGTCAACGTCTTGGATAGCGCACTGGGGTGGTGAAGCTCACTTCTCTAGGTAATCCGCTGAATATGTGAAAATGCGAGGGAAAAATAAACGTGTCACGCCGTCGACACATGAGACCCTGATCCCATGCCGCATTGCCCCAAGAAGGTCGTCGTCGAGAAGCAAGCGCCACTGCTCGTGAAAAATTTCTCGGTTGCAATGTGTGATAAGGTCTGCAGATGGACTTTTGCCCCCGGTGTGAGCGCGATACCAATCCTTAAAGGAATCGGGGAGCTGGGTAAAGGGTCAGCCAACCGATCTCACACTTGGGAAGTCAAAACACTCACAGGTTCAAAATACGCGATATGATTACAAAGGTTTGTTGAGGGTTTGCCACGCCGGTATTTGGAATCGTTTCCGAAGAACATATAACAAGGCCAGAGTTTGGCTGTGCCAAAGTTGGCCAAAAGGGTAGCGTCCGTCCAAAACATAAGAGCCAGGACAACTCGCTCCAAGCCAGGATCCTCCTCCCCTAGATCCAGCTGTTGGACCTCGGCGTCGACCTTGAGAAATTCGTCCGAGCTGTAGAGTTCCCCATGGACTCGAATGGGATCGAAATCGGAATCTGGTTGCCAGAAAAGCTTGTATGGGGTGTAATGACGATAGTAGTGCTCCTGAGGGTCTTGCAACTTCTCTTTAATCACAGACAGTATCGTCCTATGGTGGAGAACGCCAGCGTCGAAGTTGGCTTTGGATGAACCTCGACCTTGAGTGGGAAATGGAACTTCGATAGTGATCTTCGACTCGACCCAGTCACAATTGGTATCGTCAACCCAATCATTTTCATCTGGAACTCCCTCGTCGAGGCCAATAGTTTTGGCGTGGGGAAGCAGTCGATGTAGTTTGGCCCAATTGGTGGCACGTATATCCGCGGGCACAAATTCCGGATCCCCCACGACTTTCGTCAAAGCGTCGAATCTGGCCAGCGAATTGGTGCTAGACTGGCCTCCCCAGAACCATTCTGAGAGTTCGAACGAACTCCGATTGGGGTATGGATGATAGGAGTCAGCCGTCCCCTGGTGAGGTGCATCGTCGTGCGTGACTTCGTCGAGAGCAGGGTCTAAGGGCCCATCTCCTAGCTCCTGGATGTCGAGGAAGGAGTCGGGGTCGTGCTTTGGGAGGCCTAGCCCAAAGAACTCCCTGTATAGTCCGAATTTGTTGGACGATGTCCGGTGAACCTGTGACTGTTCTACCCAAGCGGATGTCCGTGCTGTTGGCAAATAGTACTTAGAGGATGTAACAAAGACGGATTATAAACTCACCGGTTGGCGCAGCTGACTGTTCTGGAGGAACATGGGCTTGAGGAGGGACCGGTGCGGGAGGTTCTGGGGATGTTTCTCGATGTTGTGCGGCTACAGTGCGAAGCCTTCCTGACCGCCTTGGAGCATTAGCTGCGACATTGTTCCCAATGTCCATGGGGCAGCTTTCATCCTAGTCATTAAATTGCACGTTCGACTTCTCGGAAGGTTATCATGAGGCCAATGAAACTTACAATGGATCTACCGGGGTCTATACCGAGAATTGGGGCTGCAACTTCGTAGGTAGTTGAGTCTCCAGTCGGTGCTGCATTTGTATTAGGCTCGTTCGCCTGTTCATGTGGAGCAAAAGTAGTATTAGTCGATCGTGATTCGTGAATTGGTCCAGTCCAGAGAAAACGGAGCTTACAGTGGTCTGTGGAGATGGGTAATCGACCGTGACTGACTCTCGTTCTGTTGGACGTTCACTTGAAGGAGAACCGTAGTGCCGGTTGGTCCATTCAATTTCGGATGACTCGGTCACCGATATCGAAGTTCCTTGGGTTGTTTTTGCGGTCACTTCCCCTGCAGAAGTGCGTGGACGCTTCACCCGTCGTTCCCAGTACCGCTTAGCGTCGGAAAGCACCTCTTTGAGACCTCGTTTTGTGGCCTTGCATCGGGACCGCTGGTGACTAAACAGAGCCCCTGCATTTGCAAAGGGTCTTCCACAATCATTACACTGGTTTGAGCTATCCATGGTTATAGTGGAAGGTTGCGTAAGTTTCTGAACGTTTTGAACTTGACCAGTGAGTTCGGCGGCTCCAAGTTCGACGGAATGGGTGACCCTGGGTGTGGTAGTATGGTAGTAGGCGGCAGGCTTCCGAGGAGCGAGCCTTGTCACGGTCGCGACGACGGTCGCTGGCGGCTGGGAAATGATGGACAGCGGATGCACCGGCCCGCGGAGCATGTTCCCGGGCCTGGCAGCCACCAGTGACGGGCGCTTACTTTTAAGGAGTAGTAGGACCAGCATACGTCAATTAACCGGGAGTAGGGCCAGCAAGTGGCAAAGCCCGGTACTTCGATGGGCATATCGTTGATGTTGAAGTTGGAGCTACATATCCTCGCAACTTACCTCCTCGATGGCCTTTGAATCCTCCAAACCCGCCTACATGGAACGCGTCGAAGTTCAGCTTCGATCGGCGCAATTGTGTACTATTTCTTCTGTAGTCAGAGAGAGTGCGGCCATCGTCGAGGTGTTTGCCAGCGAAGGCTCTGAGGCGCTGCTGATCGGGAGGGATCCCCTCCAAGATGTCTTGGATCTTGGCTTTCACGTTCAGAAGACTCGACCTCAAGGGTAACGGTCTTGCCGGTCAAGGTCTTGACGAAAATCTGCATATCACATCGGAGACCAGGGATCGGAAGAGGTTGAGGGTGGATTCCTTCCCGAATTGCACGATGGAGCTGCGTCATTTGGAGTGTGGAAGAGAAGGAACATCACCCATTCCTCGTTTGATCGTCAAGCTGGTGATGGTCTTGCCGGTGAAGGTGTTGCCGAAAATCTGTATACCACCTCGGAGACGAAGGACGAGGGTGGACTCCGATTCTCGAATTGCACGACCATTTCGATGGAGCCTCGGACTCACTGAGCAAACTTCTTGAAGGTGTCTCACATGGGCTACTCGAAGTATGGTTAACCCTGACGACAACTTCTCAACAACACTGTATATATTCCGAACGACTACTATAACGCGACTACTAACCAAACTACTACCACATACCTACGATACTAACCGCCACTATGCCACACACAACCCAATTCAACGACACACTTTAATTGACTGAAGGGTAGAGACCTGCTCATTCCTGACCCTTCGGAAGAGCCGAAAGTCACCGCCATGATATTGCTAAATACTATTGGCACGAGGGTTTCTTTCGAGCACTTCTGAAAGAAGGCTCGTCGCAATGGTGTCCGAGAGCCTTCGATGACCGGAGGATGAGTGGTCGAAATCGAACAGAGCCTTCGATCTCTGGGCCTCCAGGCGCTTGACTGAATCAGCAATCATCTTCTCAGCCTCCGCTTTGACCGCCAATTGGAAGTTGTGGTGAATCCTTGCCAGCTCTTCATTCTTCTCTTTGTAGGCAAGAATCAGAGTGAGAAGATCGTCGATGGCTGGATGGTTGCGGCTAGATAGAAAGGTACGAACAGAATGAGCTCATGCTTCAAGGAAGTTTACGAGTAAATGAGACGCACGTATCAGACTGGTATCGAGATGCGACAAGGTTCCGTTTGGCGTCCTTCTCCGGTTCAATGCTGCCAGAAGTAACTTGCTCAAGGTCCTGAATAACTCGCTCGATGGCCGGGATGTCGAGGGGGGGATTGACTGGGACTGGGACTTCTTCGGGCGCGCCGAGGTTCATTATAACCTTAAATTGGTCAGCGGACTGCCGAAGGCTTGCAGCGACGCGGGAGAGGGACTCGACGACGGCCGGTAAGACTGTGATCCCGCTGTGATTAGAGAAGAATGGTGGATATAGATGTTAAAGACTGGATGCTCACTGGTAGATCTGACCGTGGAAGACCTCGATTCCTGGATATACTTCTGACGAGCTTGGACAAGAGGAAGGTCGATGTGGCTGTAGCCTTGTTGGACCACGGTAACGTAGCGAGGAGGGCTATCATCGCGTGGAATGGGAGGTGTAAGGCGGCGGTGACTGTTGCCTTGCGGCACCCCGCTCATGCCGACGCGAGCAAACGCATGGTCGCGGTATAGATTGGCAGGCTGGACGATTCGGAAACCTTGGTCTCGCCTGATCTCGCTGCTAAACCAGGCATCGCCAATCGAGGGTCCGGGGGGCCATTGTGTGACGGTGGCAACAGATTTCACAACGTCGTGAGAGACAGAGGTGGGGACGTTGAGGGCGCTGGACCCTTCACAAACGCCTGAGAATTGCAGTCAATAGAGTCAGCTTTGAATAATTGACGCATGGAATAACCAAGTGGCGGCATACGTTGGGATAGCTCGTGTTCACCATCTGTGACTATCTCAGCGAAATACTCTGAGAAGGCCGCGAGGTTTGATATTCGGGGTGGGGGGGGAGGGATTTGGGGGTCCATGCAAAACTTGTGGTGTCGACGCGAACGAGGGAATGGGCTGGTAGATTATGGGAAACGACAGTTGAACTATAATAGAATGGGCAGAAAGTAATGTAAAGGAGAGTTGGAAGAGTGTCGAGTCTAGTTGTTCTATGAAGCATCGCGTCAAGGTTGCCTTTAAAGAATCCATGAGCAAGATGACAGAGCGAGATGACAGAGAATAACAAACCGGTTTCTATTCCGCGTGGAGACTGTCCAAGGCCCTCGTGTAGTATAGTATTGCCACGAGCCTTACATAGTAGCGCCGCCAGGCCGTGGATATGACACTTTGACGTCATTCGAATTAAGGGTTCCTTGCCGGTGCGGGAGGAGCTGAATACATACATCAGTTCATGTCCAGCATGTCTACTAACCGCCGCCTGTTCCCCATGCATGCAGCCACGAGCCTTCAGGGACCTGACAGTTGGCAGGCTCGGGAGCCTGGTCGACACGTCGCAACTTCTTGAATAGTACAGTCCTACAGGGCGGATTTCCCTCTCCACTGGGCTTCGAATGCAGTACTACCCAGTGCTGGACGGTACCGTCGGGACTTTTGAATGCAAAGTTCAAGATTTGAGAAAACCGGATCCGACGCCTAACAGTCCTCCGGATCAGTTGTGGGCGCACAGAACATCAAGTTCCGCGAATTGGGCACTCACATCTTAACTTAGAAGTTACCGTGGTCACTCAAGGGTTCCCGCTGCCGCCTTCAATACTATGATGATCCGAATGCAGTCGTTCATAGATGAAATTCATAGATGAAACCAAGTAACAGAATGAAGCCACTTGTGACATATCACCGTGGCTCACTTGGGTCGGCCGCCTGCACTCGTTAAATAGGAATACTTCCCCCTGTCGTACGGACGGAGAAGAGCCTTTTTGAACTTGCAGCGAGCAGTTGCCGGGCCCGGCGGCAGTCATTCAAGAACCCCCCGGGGGGCTGGCAGACTCGGATGAGGAGGTTTGGCTCGGCCTTGCAGGCTAAACTACGGCAAACTCCGCGGCGCCGCGAGAGAGAAAAGGCCCGTTGGCGGGCCTGAGGCATGAGGCATGACCACCTTGTTTGAAAGTCTCAAGTTCCTCTCGGCTCGTCGAAATTAGGCGAACCAAGTTGTTCCAAGTTCCCTTCAAGTTCCGAATCGACATCCCCGGAATTCGGATTCTGCGACGGGAGCGGACGATTCGGCTCGTGAACCAGCGAGTCAGCTCCAGTGAACGCCATAGTAGTATGATGATGATATCATGTTGGTTAGGGCATCGCAAAGTTTGAAGCCTCATTAATTGAGGGGCCAAGCTCAAGCCGGCACAAGGTGAGTATGATGTATGTAATACTACGAACATCAACAGGGCTACAATCTATGAGGCAAACCAAGGACCAAGAAAAAAATCGAAGGGAAAGAAGAACGGATTCGGAACTCTAGGCCCGGGGTAAGCGGCAGGGTGGGGTGAAAAAAGAAAAGGCAAATGAGCTCGCTAACGAGCTGTGAGTGTGTGCAAGTGAAGAAAAGGGCAAAGATCGACGACATAAGGGAACTGCTATTTCAAAAAGTGACCGGGTTGAAAGGAAAGGGGAAGAACAAAGGAAACGACGCGTCGCGGAGTCGTCGACTCCCTCCGAGGAGGACAAAGGGGATGGTTGATTACCTTATCAACCATCGGGCCGGTCGCGTGCATAGACCCCAGTGGTCATTGGTGAAGTTCAAAAATCAAAATGACCACGTGACTACAGTGATCACTGTCAGTGTCCGTCAGCGGGCCATGACCGTCACCCTTCAAGTTGGACCCCGCCTTTTCTGGAATGGCGAATCCTCAACAGCGCACTCAATTTCAGACTCCCATCAATCAGCATCTCGAGGTTTACGACCCTTAGCAGAATCAATGGGCATTTCCTGTCCGATCTGTTCTCCATAACCACCAGGCTCGTCTCCTTCAATGTCCTCCATCACCCGCCATGGCGTCGGCGCCTCCAACTCCCAATTTTGGCGCTACGTGCGGTCAGTCCCTCTCGCCGGGCATCCATTTTTATTTACTTATCCCTCGCTGCATTTCACAATCAAGATGACTCCTCGGCTCCCTGCCGACCTTCAGCTTCAACGGGCCCTCCACCTCCAGTGCCTCAATCTTCTATGCCAGGACAAACGCTTCGCGGGCCCGAGCGTCTGCAGGTTCGATTCTGGTCTTACCGGACTCGGAAGGGCGGAAGTGTATCACAACAAGGTCGACCCCCGCTTCGCTCGGTGCCAGTGGGCTCGAAACATACGTTGGTCACCATTGTCCACCATTGAAATCACACTCAGAACGCGTGGTCAACCTTCGATTTTCCTCAAGGCTGCCTCGACTACTAAGCCCAACTTATCTGCCCACTGGTTCGTGCCAAAATTGGACTCAGGAGTCCGTGCGTGTGGACATGATGACTACAGTTGTCCCTTGGGAGTTTAAAGCCAGACTCCCCACCCACTTTCTGGGGTCACCCGTCTGCCCCCCTCCACTTTTTGACCCAATCCCTGCCAATCCCCTACACCTACAAGCTCGGTAGTAGGGGCATCGACGTCTCCCTGGATGAGGTCAGGTTCAATCAGTACGATCGCTAATCGCACCTCACCGATCTCTTCAGTCGTTGATGCCATGCGCCAGGCTGAGTATGTCGAGTCCCGACGCTCCGAGTGGCTTGCCACAAGGCCCCTTGCCAATCTTTATTGAACCCCCAACGTGCGTGTCAGCCCTTTTTGCCCGACTTTCCCCTCCACTTAACTTTTGGCTTTGTTAGGTACTTCACATCACCGCCGCTCCAACAAGTTGAAGCCTGAAGCCTGTTTTCGCGTGACTATTTGCTTTCGACAATAGTCGTGCAACCTCCAACACTTCCCATGCGTATTACATCGCGTCTTGCGACCTCCGGATTATTGACCACTGGCGTCGCCAAGTTCAGGCTCGATTGCCGTCGTCCTTTTCATTCGTTTTAGTTGTTTCTTGAATTCATTTGGCCTTGTTTCGAATGTCCGATGGACTGTCACTAGTATATACTACACTCGATGGTACAAGCGCGATGACTTCGATCTTTTCCGAAATGTAGCATTTTCGCGGGTGTGTTTTATTCTTGTACTATCGGATGGCTTGCATGCAATTGCCGATTTACAAGGCTTCCCCCCGCCTACGGTTGCCACGATCACCAGGCCCGCCGAAAACCTTTGAAATTGAACACGAGCGCTGATGGTGAGGACGGTCGGTGGTACGGGGCCGCCGCAGCTGTAGTCACGTAACGGGTAGTCTCAGCAACGGCTGCGGCGGCGTGGCGCAATGCCCACTTTTGGTCCTACTATGCGCAGCGGTTCTGAATGTATGGATCCCGTCGGAACTGTGGCAATCCCTGGACCCTCGACATTACTCGGGTCGTAACCAGCAAGTAACCGTCGTGAACTTATTCACAATCGTCATCACCTTTTAACAACGGCCATTCTCAGGTGAGGCTGTGTGAGAAGATTTTGCCACGGCAGCCGCGCACCTGGCTGCAAAGACTATATATAGGAACTGTTGTGTACATCCTTAAACTCGTCCAACAAGTCAGACACGTCAACTTCTCACTCTCCTTTCACTCGAAGCCACTTGCTCAGTCGCCCTCAGATATATCAACCCTTCCTTCGACTTTTTCAATTCCATTCCCTTTGGCATATCTTGGCTATGAGTCGTGAATCCCTCCCAGAAATGGTAAAAGTGATCAGACATCTCCGTTTTCTGAAGTGAAACTCACATTCTACAGCAGCGACAAGTGACCGAACAGCACCACTATCCCCCCAGCTCCCTTCTCCCCCCAGACGCATTACCCGACTATAAACTCGCCACCCTCCGTTTAGCATTTTGCGCAGAAAACCGCGACTCCTGGCTGGAGCGACTCAACGCTCTCCTTCATCATATTGACCAATCCATTGAAGGTTTCAGCGAAGCGGAACGGGCTGTGGCAGTCGATGGGACGATATTTGAAGGAATAAAGAAAGACTACATCGACAGAGGCTATCCTCAAGTGGCGGTACATATGGACCGGCTCCGTGAGGACCTCAGGCAACGAAAGGGTGAGCTTTCAGTTTATATCCCGCTTTTGGCAATGGCTCATCGACCCGTGAAGTCAACAAACCAACACCACCGTCGCTTCGCACGCCGCCAACCTCACCAGGATCATCGGAAACAAGGCCCACACTCGCTCCTGACTCCCTCCCGGACTACACACTCGCCGCTCTCCGCTTGGCATTCTGTGCTGAGACTCGCGACAGATGGCTGGAACGCACGTACAGTCTCCTACTCGAAGCTGAAAAGGCGATTGAAGGATTTGAAGAAGCGAATCGTGGAGTAGCAGTCGATGGAACCGTTTTCGAGGGCCTGAAGAAGGATTATACTGAACGGGGTTTTCCAGCAGTTGCAAGGGATATGGATAGTCTCCTCGCGGAGCTCAAGCGCCGAAAAGGTATGCATTGCTTCATTTTCCCTCTTGTTCGATATTAACCATCGCTTGCAGTCACCATAGAGCGCCGATTTTCGCTTCATACCCCACCCAGCTCCCCAAATCCCTCCGGCTCCAGGCATTCGTAGGCTCATACCACTTCTCCATAACCCCTCCTACTACTTGCACTCACGGACACCTTCAAGTTGTCGTCTTTTTACCCATCTCTTGTTCATAAAAATGTGATATTTAACCATGTCCTTAGCTTCCACCTGCTTCGCAGGGTCGATCCGACAGTTGGCGTGTTGTATTACTTTGAAATGGGATCCTGTGTGTATAGTCAAATTCCTCCTGTGACAAGCTGGGATGGGAGTACGTGGATGGATCCTTTAACTCAAGACCTCAAACCTGCCCGTTGGTTGCAAGTGAGTGAATACTACATTTGTCGGAGCCTCTTGAAAAGCGTCAGAGTCAGGCTGGATATCTGAACAATGTGGGAACTTGTAGGTCGACTTGAAGGCCAGCTTTGAATATCCACTGGCAGCGGCGGCGCCAGAGACTGGACTCGGACGTTATGCCTTTGCCGTTGAAATTCCCTGTAACCGCGACGGCCACAGACGGAGGGCAGCGCTCTTTGCTGACGTCGACCGTCTCGCTTCGAACTTGGCCTGCGCGATCCTCGACACTTGCCACTCGGCGAATCAGCACGTTAGCAGGCTAGTACAGTCACCTGCGGTTTCCAGCACTCCTTCCCAACATATTGACTGCGGCGCTTTGGAAACATTGTCACGGTCCCATAGTAGTACGCGGCTTGAGTAGGTTGCAACCGTATGATCTACTACTCCGAGCCGGAGGCTGCGGTTTCCAGCACTCCTTCCCAACATATTGACTGCGGCGCTTTGGAAACATTGTCACGGTCCCATAGTAGTACGCGGCTTGGCGTGACCACTCGCCACCGGTCCTGGCACCACGACGGTTGGGCCAAGAAGTTGAAGGGGATTTATCTGCGATATAAAGCTCGTGTCCAAAGGTTTGTGCACTCTTACCGCACGTCCCGCCATCTTTATTCGATTCACTTGTTGTCAAAGTGAGTCCTCCACTTTCCGGTCTCGTCGCCAAATCTGGCCTGGGGTTAGTAGGACACTGACCCTGCTAGTTTTTTCGTGGCAGATGAACCCTTCTGGCACCTCCAACAATGCTTCGACGTTCTCAGATACACCAAAGGGCTCTCGTGACAGCTCACTGCTTTCGCATTTGCAAGTGCAGTCGCTTCAAAAGCTCCAACGTCAAATGGGCTTGGAGCATAACCCCCCCTTGTTCGATTCGATAACTGTATGTCACGCTATTTCCACCGAGTCGATGGGTTTCGTTCTGATCGTCGTTTGACCGACTTCGTAAAGCGCGCCGTTCATCTCGCGATCTCCAAAGCCCGGAGGTGCTCGAAGGTTACATGCCACCGGTTGGACAACCAAGATGAGAAAGCTGAGATTGACATGGAAAGAGTTATATGGAATGTGGGTCACCCGACCTCCCCGGCATCATGGTAGCTGACTCCCCATTCCAGGTGCGAGACTACGTTCCCTTTGTTCAGGAGTACCAGGACTATTGGCCGATCTACGACCTGGTCCGTCTTCATCTCGACACGATCAGAGAGCGAGAGGCCCTCTTCAAACTCAACAATGCTTCCACTGCAACCCTTCCGGACTATGAATCTGAACAACTTCAAGTTGAAACCTATCCATTCCCAGCTAACGTTGGTTCTTAACTTGAGCTTTTATAGTATTAGATACAGATGATACAGATGTCATGGCTTGCGCGTGCACTAGAGCCAAGTAGAACAGTCATACTCGCCGACTAGTAGTATTAAGTTGTGCCCTCCGACTCGATACTACGACCCTTACTATAATTAGCTTTCAACAGTTGCTTTAAAGTGAGATTCAAAGCAGACCTTGTGGGAGAATAACGGTATCCCACTGAGGCTGATGAGGCACTGCCACTTAACTGCATGATTTTTTCATCGGATGAATTCATTGACTGGCTCGACGTTGCGCCAGTAGTCGTAGCCTGTTGGCGGCATAGTAGTAAGCGGTGGCCTCAGGCTCCGGGGGAAAGGCACCGATTCGACTCTCATCAACAATGTATGAACTTTACGGTCACGGTCAACGGGTACAAATGGCTTTCATTGACTATAGCTGCGGCGGGTAGCAGGATATGAGCAACTTCAAGATCGGGTGGCAGCTCGCTTAGCAGGCCCCACCTAGGAAACAGTCCGCAGTGCGGACTGTTTCCTAGGAGTCCGAGAGCCTGGCCCCCGGGCCTGGCCGTCGAGGAGTTCCAAACTTTTACTCGGATCCAAATTTTGGTCTCACTGGTCTGCCACTGAGTGAACCTCGACGCGCTGACATCCACCATAGCCTAACTTACGACTAAATACTAATGCTTGATTCCTTGAGTGACAGAATTCTTCAACTTGACTCAAAGGCGGCCGGGCTGACGTCGACTCCTCCACTGGGCTCGCGGCGGCGGCTCACTCAGACTCTTAGCCGCCCTGGCGCTAAACTTGCCGGGTTTTATGACGTCATGTAACTTTTCAGCAGCGGCCACTGGCAGTGGGTACTACTCATGTCTGGCAGGTACGCAACGTGACCGTGACTGCGGTCGTGACTGCCAACAAATAGGCGGTTGCGCGTTACCACTGTGTGCTGCGCTATGATCATTTTCATCTTAGCAATCGTACAAAGATTCCGATTGCTTTGAAAATGATCAAGTACTACCGGCATTGGCAGTCCTATAAGAAGACTGGGACTCCCCAAGTTGGTGGTCCTCAACAAGTTGGTGACGATCGCCACCCCCTGGGCTCTTTTCGAACTCTGATTACCTCTCTGTACTGTCTTCTAGTCCCGCAAGCCTCATGTCGCAGACTTCGAGGCCTTCTCGCGAATCTGACAAGGAGAACGCACCTCCCAACCCAAATGCCTCAGCGATCCAGTCTCGGACTACGAGGGCCCCTCGGCGAGCGCATTCAGAAATTGATTGTTCGGGCGACGAGGGAGACCACGGTGACGGGCCGCGAGAGTCAGCCTTTGGTTTGGGTCCTCGTAAACGAGCGTAGGTGTTCAGGTTAGTAAAGTCGCATCGAGTTTATAGCACTCACTGGCACAACAGCTGTCGGACTGATCCGCTCGTTCACCATGGTCGACACTTTGGTCGTACAATCCAGGCGTTCTGTCGGGTGCAGACCCTGATCAAGAACGGTATGACCCGAAGCTTCGAGATGCAGGTCGAGGGAATAACAGAGGCAGATTTAAGCGACCCGTAGGCAGTTTCACTTTCCTTTCGAATAAGCCCAGAGCTGACCTCAACTGAACCTCAACGGCTACAGGATGGAGAGGCGAGAGCACGGTATCTATAAAGCCCTATTAAATCTTTCTCCAGGGCTCGAGGAGCGTTTGTGCACTGGTTCCGACGAGGACATCTTCCATGTCGCCGAGATGGTCAGGCTTTGTGATACTGTTCCTTGGTTCCTGGACAAGAAGATTACTCGGTACTGACGCCCCGCCCTAGATCCAGAAAGGCTCGTCCAGTGCTCGCGCCGACGATACAAAAGGGCTCAAAACAGTGATAATCGACTGGATTACACCACCGGGCCAATGCCTAAACCCTCCGCTGGCGAGGAATGTGAAAACTGACCGAGGTTTCTATCATGAGGCGACGGGAAGGTTGCTTTGTCCTATCGATGAGGACTGGAATGACCAAGAGTAAGGAACTTAGACTAGTCTGCTAGCTCGTTCACCAGGTTCCTGACTAGAAACCATCGCTCGCAGGACGCGAGAGCTCCTTCGATCTGGAGTGAAGACAGTCTCAGGAGACCAATGGCCCCTGCTCTTATTCAAAGACTACAAATACAACCCTGACAACATTTGGGATGGCCTTTTTCGAAGCCAGCTTCTCGTCAACGTGAGTTTGCAATGTAATCATGTGAACTACCTGCTGACGCTCTCAAAACATTGGGTTATTTCAGGCGTTCAAGCATATTTTTACATCTCCCAGCTCTGTCGACAGGGAGCCTCGAGCCACTCGATCTGGGAATGCTCGAATCCATGGCATGACATCAGTTACGATCGGGAGTCTGGCCTATGTCGCCACACAGGTAATAATTACATAGAACGCGTCGGAGGTCGTGCCAGAGGACCGTTGTTGACTGATGAGTGATTTCCAGGTTCGATTTGCCCTCAGCTCCTCCCCTGTGTTCTCGAGAACGGACCTCCAGACCGATTCTGAACGATTCTACGAGTCTATTATGGAAGCGTTTCATGACCCCGTTTACGAAGTTCAAGTGAAGGCTCTACTGGAATGGTGGAACAAGTAAGCTTCACCCTCTTTTTGATAGTGCCCTTTCTGACTCCAAACTTGATACAGACAAATCTTCCCTGCCCAAGTTGGTGGTTCGAGGCCTCTAAAGAAGGGCTCGGTCCTCGCGAGGATGAAAGAGCAAGCAGGCCATCCTCATCGTAACCGCCAAGTACTCGGTGCCTCAAACAGCCAAACTTCCTCCAGCACTTCTGCTTCGACAGCTGCAGTTGCCGACTCGAACACTCCCCCGACCTTTGGCTCGACTGCCCAACCCACTACCTCGACTACGAGCCAGACGACAGGCCCGACCACCTAGCCCTCCGCCACAGCGAATTCCCCGTCCACTAGCATATAAAGCTGTTATTCAAGATTGCAGCTCCAGTCGCAGCGAAGGGTTCCCGGGCCTAACCTACGATATTGAATGCTACTACAACGCTCCTGCCAATATTTCCTTCCATTCCATTGTTGCCCCTGTTATTACTAACGTCACCTACTACGTCGGATACTAGTACATCCTCGGTTGAATGGCATTCACATCACAGTGACTTCTAAGTCCGAGACCTAATAAAATATCTCAATTTTCCTCTGAGCTATACCAGTAACCTGAAGCTTTCGAATTTAAAAATCTATTTGAAGCGTGCCGGCCAACTTCTTGAACTTCTTTGAAAATCGCCACGGTGAATCGCGGTCACCAAACTTAAGTAAGAAGCTCAAGCTTTAAGCGCCCACCAGTGCCGTCCGGCCGTGGCACCCTCGAATTGGCTGCGTTTTGATGCCAAGCTAGGAGAACACGTGGTAACGAGACGGGACTGAGACAGCGGCCCACTGGTAGCAGCGGCAGTGAGTGCCAGACTCGACCACGGCGTTCCAGTCGCACCTCCCGTCCGAAAGAGCTGTATTCGGTCCAATCTCTCTTCACACTAGTGGCAACCGTTCAATGGCGCGTAGATCAACTCGACAATCCGCCAGGACAGCTGCAGCTGAAGCCTCGCAACCACGCACCGTCACGACTCTGGCAGACTGGGATGATTTTCCCTCGAAAGCGACGGGTAAACCAGCCACTACAACCACCGTGAACGAGGAACGCCATAGACCGTCGACTGCCAAAAAGGTCAAGGTCAAACGGTATGTCGTTTAGGCACTTGCCCCATGATCGCACGATTGCGAAGCACTAACCGGTTCCCGTAGGATTAACTGGAAGCAGCGCAAGCAAAAGCAAGTCTCAGGCCACTACTACATGATCTAGCTCGAGGAGAACCATCTGACGAGGTTTCCTTTAGCGTATGGAATGATCCGTTGTTTGCATGCGGTCAGCGTCTTGCTCGGTACATCCACCCTTTCGTCAATGTTCTCAATTTCATCAAAATCGAGAAGAAGGTAGCCCGTTTTCTGGCGACTAAAGGCATGAATTGGAGAGCTCTGGAGATGTCCAAGTGCGTACCAGTATGCGTTCGGATCGATAAACGGCTCGCTGATACCATAACCTTATTCAAGGGACCGCCGGGACCATGAAATGTACCTCCAGGTTCTTGAAATGATGCAGAACGTAGGGGTAAACGTGTTCCAAAGTTCTGATTCCACTGTCAAGAATATCATGTTCTTCGTAAGTTCTCTTATGATTTCGAAGCCACATCTCTAATCGAGTCGTCAGATCAACAAAGGGCAGTCTTCATCGTGGGCGTCCGACGAGCTCGCGCTGAAGACAGCTCTGGCCAGTTGGGTTGCGCCTTCCAGCGAGGGGAAGGCAGTCTGTGGCCTTGGCTTTTCTGAAGAATTCTCTCTGAAGTTGCTTTGTCCCGTCACTATTGATTGTTCCCGAGAAGAGTACGTCTGCGAAACCCCCTCCGTCCGCGCATTTCACAACCTCTCTTAGGAACAAGGTCAGATTGCAAACTCAACGGCAAAAACTGCAGATTGGAGAATGGCCTCGGCTACTATACCAAAACATGGATTACAATGCCGCTGATATGTGGGATGGATTCTTACGAAACTCTATGTTGTTGAAAGGAGGTGTTTTTCTGCAAGCCGCCGCTCGTTCTGGTCTGACAAGCGGCGTTTCCAGGCATACAGACTTGTCTACTTGAAGGGGCGTGATACTTCACCTGAAGAAAGATCCGCTAACGTCTCCAAGATATCCTACGTTGCTGCCCTGGTATGTGTCTCATTATGTTCGTATCTAAACATGGAAGAACTCAAAGAGCCCCTATCTGAAGGTCATTTCGGTCCTCGCCTCCTCCTCCACTTATATACGAGGAAGTATCCGGGATTTTTACTCTGCGCTGAAAGCATTTCTCCAAAGGCCTGAATACGCATCACACGTTCGTTCGCTGCTGCGTTGGTGGGATAGGTTCGTCTCTTGCCTTCCCCGCCGTCCCTCCAACTAAACCTTTCGCGAAGGAAATTAATCGGAGAGTCTGCCGTGACTGTGAATCTTCCACTAAATCGATCCGGGGGGCTTGGTATACTGGAGCGGCTTAATAGGAACCGAGGCGTACGATCATGACCGACAAAATTGTGTCCATCTGCCAGTGCAGGAGTCTGCCGCCTCAGTTCTTTGATTATGACGTTTTCCCAATCAAATTATCACGGGACCGTGTTTTCTTTTACAAACACCACCAAATAATCAAAGGGATGACTCGGATGTGCTGGCGCGCAGCTTGAACCCAAACCTCACCCGTCACCAGCTTCATATGTATGTCCACTGCCAACGATATGGCGCTGCTGAACTCGAATACGTGTCTCCACCTTCAGTGCGACCAGTGTCATCAAGCAACAGCTAGTACGTCCGCCCACGTCCTGTCCCTGGGTTTACAGCTAATTACAAAATTGTAGGCCGGTCTTGAATTTCCCTTGGTATACCTCAAATCGCTCCCCTTACGGTAACCAGGCTCCACCCTGACCCTCCCTGGTGGTGCCCTGCAGTACTTCCTCGCCGTCATTTTGCCATATAGGACATTGCGTCAAAACTCCGACCGGCCTACAAATTTGCAATCCGCTGTAAACCGTGCCACCTGCTTATATGAAACATCCACCTGAATAGGTGATGACGGCGGACGTGAATGTCGGTGACTATACTTCAGTGCGTGCATTGAAACATTTCGTTTACAACCCAGAGCTGATTTATTACACAATGTTGATTCCTTTTGCCGTCGAGGTGAGCCTTGTTTGCCAGGCACTGCTACTCCCAAATAACACGTTTTCCACTCCAGACTGCTTACCTTCGTTACAACGCCATGGCTCAACTATTATTTCGCCGCTCCCATGAACCTCGACCAAGCGCAACCTCGCAGCTGTTGGCGCAGAAGTTCGAAATCGTGGTCTCGTGTTTTTAATAGCCATCTTCCTCAGGTATTCCGTCGGTTCCATCTGAGGCACAGTGATGGCACTAGCTGAACCTCTTCCCTGTCAGTACGACAGTTTTTTTCTTTGAATAGGCCCACCAGGTTGCTCTTCATGTCGTGGCGGTAGTGCATGCTATCCGCAACTTCTATTCTGTTTAGTCGAGTTCCTGTCGGCATGGTAAGTGCTGTGTCTTTGCTTTCTAACAGTGCTGATGACCTTGTTCGCCACGCACACCTAGTACAACCATGTTATCCCAGCTATGCTCAGCTGATTTTGACGATCCTAGTCGACGCGGTAAGTGATTTGTCCTTTTCTCTAACAGTGCTGATGAATCCAGGCTCCTTTGTTCGCCGCGTAAGCCTTCTCGTTGCTGGTGCAGCTCGGTTGTTTGGTGGAACATGGAGGAACATTCTTGGTTACGATGGCAGTAGTGTTTCGTTATAGCAGGTTATAGCCGTGTTAATGTAGTAGCACACAATCATATCCATTGAAATTTGAACCGCACGCATGACCGCAGAACGATGAACGGACAACCCGTGTCGTTTCGACCGCGGCACCCATGAACAGGGCCGGTGACTACGTTTCGTACATCGTCGTTCCCCACACCTTCGGCCTCCCGCACTTTCGGTCCACTCATAGTATACCCTACGTAACTAAATCCCAATGTATAGAACATTGCAATATACCTGAAATGTTGATATCTGGCCAATGTGGACATTAGGCTACGGCCAATGTTCGAGAGTTCGCTCGCCTCAGAGTGTACCACGCCAGCAAATGACTCAACCATGGAGTGTAACCCAATTCTGTCTGGCGCCAATTTGTCCAGACAGTTTGGCTTGCTGTCGTCAGAGGAACGGTGAGGGTAACAACTCACGGGCAGTTGGCAGCTGGGAAGGTTGCCCACTGCGGATTTATCGGAGCCAAGCAAACATTGGGCGTGAGCGACTGGTGGGTGCTCTCGAACGCCCAACGTGCGGGTATCCTGAAGATTTGGCAACACGGTGGCTCTGCCATGTATACCGGAAAATATAAAGCTAGGTCTGCGATGACGACAACGCGGTGCTCTCGAACACCCAACGTGCGGGGATCCTGAAGATTTGGCAACATCGGTGGCTCTGCCATGTATACCGGAAAATATAAAGCTAGGTCTGCGATGACGACAACGCGGTGCTCTCGAACACCCAACGTGCGGGGATCCTGAAGATTTGGCAACATCGGTGGCTCTGCCATGTATACCGGAAAATATAAAGCTAGGTCTGCGATGACGACAACGCGGTGCTCTCGAACACCCAACGTGCGGGTATCCTGAAGATTTGGCAACATCGGTGGCTCTGCCATGTATACCGGAAAATATAAAGCTAGGTCTGCGATGACGACAACGCGGTGCTCTCGAACACCCAACGTGCGGGTATCCTGAAGATTTGGCAACATCGGTGGCTCTGCCATGTATACCGGAAAATATAAAGCTAGGTCTGCGATGATGACAATGCCGACCTTTGAGAAAGTCCCGAAGCACCAAACTCATCAGCGTCGTTGAGTCACTGACTTTGCTGGAACTGCCATGTATACCGCAGCTTATCTACCTATCTCTGTGATTGCACAGACGATCATCGACTGCAATCCTGATACACCTGGTGGAAATCGGTTTGGCCCTGTATTTCTCATCCGAGGAGCGGGGCCGATCCGCCAGGCTCGGGGCTATGTTTCTGACCATCAGCCGTAACCTGCACTGCTCAACGATTGTCGGATGACATATCAGAATGATATAGATTTCACGGAAGGCAGCTCAGATAATCGTAGGTAATTCTTTAACTTTTCACGCAGGCTCATCCTGATGTAGAGTTCATGAGAGCCTGGAATGTCGCCGGAGAGTTGGTGAGGCCGAAGAACATAACGAGTGGTTCGAAGAGACCCTGGTTGGTGGCGAACGCGGCCTTCCACTCGTCTCCTTCCTTGATCCGGATATTGTTGTAACCCCAGCGAATGTCGAATTTCGTGAAGTACTTGGCACCGCGGAGTCTGTTGACGATGTCGGAGACCAGGGGGAGGGGGTAGCGATTCTTGACGGTGATCTCGTTGAGCTTGCGGTAGTCCTGAACGAAGCGGAGCTTGCCATCCTTCTTCTTGACGAAGAAGACCGGGGAAGAGAGGGGAGACTTGGATGGTCGGATGTATCCCTTCTTGAGGTCTCTCGTCGAGGAATCGGTTCAGCTCTTCCTGTTCGTTCTGGGACATGGGGTAGACCTTGGTGCGCATGGTGGCCGGAGCTCCAGGAATCAGATCGATGGCGTGATCCCAGGGTTTGTGTTCGGGTAGGCGGTGCGACTCGGACTCGGAGAAGACGGAGGCATGTCGGCGATACTGTGGGGGAACCATCTCTTCAAAGGTCTTCTGGGGTTTGGCCTTCTGAGATTCTTCGGCGATCTGCTGGGAATAAGTGAAGCCAGCAGCACACCAGAGCTCGTCACCAGTTTCCTCGATCAGCCCTGCTCGTAGCCATTTCCTGCGGGTGGTTCGGTTGGCGCGGATACGGCAGAGGGGCGGTTCGGCTTGTTCCGATTCCGGTTCGGGAGCGGGGTTGGGGTCAGGAGTGGTGGGCACAGGGGGAGGATCAACCGGGGTATCTATCTGTTCGAGAATGGCACCATTGGAGGGAGCTCCCCGACTAGGAGGGTATGCGTCCTCGTCTGGAACCTCCTCAATAGTTACGCTAGAGACCTTGGAGGGAACCTGGAGGGTGCCGTTACGCCAGTCGATGGTGGGGTTGATCTTGCGAAGCCAAGGGAGTCCGAGGATGATGTCCTCTCCTCCAAGGTCGGCGATAAGAAAGTCGGTCCATTCGGAGTGACCGTCGACCGTGAGTTCCAGTCGTGCGAAATGGGTGATATTGCCTGCCTGATTGGGGGTGCCGTCAATGTTGAGAAGTCGGATGGGGTGTCGGAGGGGGAATGTGGTAATGTTGTGCCGATCGACAAAGGGCTTGTCCAGGAACTTGCCTGTTGCCCCACAGTCAATCATTGCCGCGGAGTTCGTACTGCGATTTCTGCCTCTGAGCCTCACGTTCACGCGAAAGTGTGATGAACGGGGGGTTTATTTCGCGAATTGAGCTAATAGTACATGAACGGACAGAATCATATTCGGAAGTGGCGTACGGAGGAGTAAAGGGTGCCTGCGTTGCGGCAGGGACGGGCACCCGCTTCAAAAACCCTGATGGAGCCTCTGGAGTTGAGCCAGGAGTTCGAGTTGTTGTTGTTGAGTGGCCGAGAGTGAGGCGAGGCTTGGGGCGGGGGCAGAAGGCGTGGCAGGAGTGGTGGCGGCAACGGTGGCAGTGGCAGCAGGGGCGGGTTCATCAAAGAGGGAGAAGGGTGCTTCCTGGGTAGCGGCGACACGGCGACGCGGAGGTCGAGAGAGCCCTCGTCCAGGTGGGAATCCCATGTATTTGTCCTGGCAGACGGTGGCGGATTGTCCCATACGCTGGCAGTAGTGCAGCGAACGCCCCATGATTCCCATCCTTCTTGTTGTGACCGGTGGATCCACAGCCAAAGCATCGACCGCGCATGGCGTTGAGGAAATCCTGGCGGGTCTTGCCGCTAGGACCGGGTCGGGTAGCATCAATCTCCATCGCGTACGGGTCACGAGCGGGGGCGGGAGCAGGAGCAGGGGCATACTGGGCCAGGGAGGTGCGGGACGAGTTGGGGTTCATGTTCCGCATGACGAACTCGTTCTTGATGGCTTGAGCGAC